ACCTGTGTTCTACCATTTACGACATGTGTTCTACCATTACGACAAAGGACAAGATTGCGACCACCACGATCAACGATTTCAGGGCGATTGTTTATTTTATTATTATTATTATTATTTTTTTAGGTTAAAAAAATCCTCTGTATATGGGCTTACGAGTGAGGGAATTAGAGAGAGAGAGAGAGAGAGAGAGAGAGAGAGAGAGAGAGAGAGAGAGAGAGAGAGAGAGAGAGAGAGAGAGAGAGAGAGAGAGAGAGAGAGAGAGAGAGAGAGAGAGAGAGAGAGAGAGAGAATGAAAGTGTGAGCGAGCGAGCTGAGAGCGGTTACATATGCATTCAGTATATAAGGACACACACACACACACACACACACACACACACATATACATATACGCGTATCAGATGCTATATAAGCCACACTCTCTTACCTCAATGCTGCCGCTCTACATATATTTTTACGAAAGGATGAATGCACTGCCGCATTGATATGATGAATAAATAACCTCTCCGATCGGGACTCGAACCCTCGCGTTGCAGGAAGGTAACTGCAAGACGGACGCTAGAGGTAGAGGTCTTGCCTGCAACGGCGTGGGTTCGAGTCCCGATCGGAGAGGTTATTTATTCATATATTTTTTTTTACGTAGGACAGCACACGCACACGCACGTGTATATGTATTTGTATATATACAATCGGAATGTATATAATGTATGTCTCCCTATCTATCTATGCCACTTTTATTCATCAAATTATATTTGACACAGTTTTATTTTACTACTTTATTTGATGGCAAAAAAATCTCACGCTTATCAATAGTAATAATGATAATATGATGATCATGATGATAATAATAATAGTAATAGAAATTATAATGATAATAAAAATAGGAAAATGCTGATAAGGATGACAATGATAATATTAATAACATGATAATAATAACAACGATAAAGATGAAAATAATAGCATTTATAGTAATAATAATGAAAATAATAATGATAATGATAATATCAATGATAATGATAAAGACATAATGACAATGATAATAATGGTAATGATAATGAAACATGATATATGGTCGTAATAATAAAAAGGGTAATAATGTTAATAATTATGATAATGGTTAATGATAACACCAGTAATAATGATGATAATGATAATGAAAATAACAATAGTAGTAATAACTATTAGAATAATGATAATGATACTAACAATACTAGTAATGATAATGATAATAATGATACTGATACTGATGATAATCATAATAATGATAATAATAATGATAATATATAATAATGATAATGATAATAATAATAATGATAATATCAATAGTGACAATAATAAAAATAATGATAGTAATTGTAATAACAGTGATGGTGATGATGGTGATGATAATTGATATTAATTTGGCCGAAGGACATCATATCGACAGTATTAATGGTTATGATAAGAATAATACTAATTATAACAATAATGATAATGATGATAATGATAATACTAATAATGATAATAAAGACAATGATACCAATACTAATACAAATAATGATAATAATGATTATATAATAGAATAATAGTAATAATAGATAATAGTAATAGTAATAATATTGATAATAGTAATAATAATAGTAATAATATTGATAATAGTAATAATAATAACAATAATAAAACTATAATAATAAATATAATAATGACAATAATAAATAATGATAATAACAACAACAATAATAATAATAATGATAATAATAATAAAACAATAATGATAGCAATAATAATGATAATGATAATAAAAATAATAATAACAATAATAACAGTGATAATGATAATGACAACAATAATGATAGCAATAATAATGATAATGATAACAACAATAATAATGACAATAAGTCCGAAGGGTAAAGCGATAATAATAATAGCAATAACAATAACAATGATGATAATAAAGATAATAATAATGATGATAATAATGATGATAATAATAAAATGATAAAAATAATGATAATAAAATGATAATAACAATAACAATAATAACAATAATAATAATGATGATAATGATAATAATAATAATAATGATAATAATAACAATAACAATGGTAATAATAATGATAATAATGATAACAATAATCATGATGATAACAATAAAAATAATAATGGTAAAATAATGATAATAATAATAATAATAATAATGATATAATAACAATAATGATGATAATGATAATAATAATAATGATGATAATAACAATAATAACAAAAAAGGAAGCTAATGATAATGATATTGATAATGATAATGATAATGATAATTATGATGATAACAATGATAATAATAACAATGATAATAAAAATAATGATGATGATAAATATTATCATAATGATAACAATATATTAATTATAATAATAATAATGATAACGATAATAATGATGATGATAATAATCAAAAATAATAATAATAATAATAAATAGAATTGATAAGAATGATAATAAGGATTATGATGATAATGATGATAATAAAAATAATAATAATATAATAATAATAATAATAATAATAATAATAATAATAATAATAGAATGATAAGAATGATAATAAGGATTATGATGATAATGATGATGATAATAATAATAATGATAATAATAATAACAACAATAATGATAGCAATAATAATGATAATGATAATAAAGATAATAATAACAATAATAACAGTGATAATGATAATGACAACAATAATGATAGCAATAATAATGATAATGATAACAACAATAATAATGACAATAAGTCCGAAGGGTAAAGCGATAATAATAATAGCAATAACAATAACAATTATGATAATAAAGATAATGATAATGATGATAATAACAATGATGATAATGATAATGAAAATAATAATAATATTATTAATAATAAAATGATAATAATAATAAAATGATAATAACAATAACAATAATAATAACAATAATAATAATGATGATAATGATAATAATAATAATAATAATAATAACAATAACAATGGTAATAATAATGATAATAATGATAACAATAATCATGATAATAACAATAAAAATAATGGTAGAAATAATGATAATAATAATAATAATGATAATAATAAATAACAATATAATGATAATAATAATAATGATGATAATAACAAAACAATAAAAAAAGGAAGCTTGATAATGATATTGATAATGATAATGACGATGATGATAACAATGATAATAATAACAATGATAATAAAGGGGTTTCTGAGAGCACTAGAAAAGAGGTTATTGGAGAGGGGTAGAGGGGAGAGAAAGGGAGAAGGAATGCGAAGGGAGAGAGAGAGAGAAGAGAGGAGTGGGGAGAGGGGGGAGGGAGGGAGGAGGGGGAGGAGAGGGAGGAGGGAGGAGGAGAGGGAGGAGGAGGAGGGAGGGAGGGAGGGAGAGAGGAGGAGGTAGGGAAGAGAGAGAGAGAAGAGAGAGAGAGAGAGAGAGAGAGAGGAGAGAGAGAGAGATGAGGAGAGTGAAGGTTATGATGGTGATAATGATAATGATAATAATAATGATAATGATAATAATAATAACAATGATGATAATAATAATAATAATAATAATTATTATTATTATAATGATAATAATAATAATAATAATAATAATAATAATAATATAATAATATATAATAATAATAATAATAATAATAATCTCTCTCCCTCTCTGTTTCTCTCTCTCTGTCTCTGTCTGTCTTTCTGTCTGTCTCTCTCTCCTCTCTCTCCTCTCTCTCCTCTCCATCTCTCTCTTCTCTCTCTCTCTCTCCTCTCCTCCCTCCCCCCCCCTCTCTCTCTCTCTCCCTTCGCATTCCTTCTCCCTTTCTCTCCCCTCTCCCCCTCTCCAATAACCTCTTTTCTAGTACTCTCAGAAACTCCCTTTTCTACTCTGTGTGTGTGTGTGTGTGTGTGTGTACGTGTGTGTGTGTGTGTGTGTGTGTGTGTGTGTGTGTGTGTGTGTGTGTGTGTGTGTGTGTGTGTGTGTGTGTGTGTGTGTGTGTGTGTGTGTGTGTGTGTGTGTGTGCTGTATATATATGTATTATATATATATATATATTTTTTTTTTTTCTTTTTTTTTATTATTATTATAAACAAACAAAACTGTGAATCAAAGACGCGTGTTTCAGCTATGGCAGGAAAGCCCCGATGCAGAAACGGCCGCCAGGGAGGCGCGAAGGCCGCCCCTCGCGTCGTCACCACTTCCGGCCGGGGAACACCAAGTCCCAGTCGCCGGTTTCGTAAAACGTTAGCGTCGACCCTTAGATGAACGGCATTCCGATCGCCAGAGGTTCGTCGAACGCTTCCAGGATGCCGTCTCCTTCCGCCTGTTTGCCGAAGCCCGAAACCGGCACATCCCGAGCGATGACGTCTCTTTCCACGATCCCTTCTATCATCGCGATCTGCATCGGTTGCTGCAGCTTCTCCTCCCTCAACTGCAGTTTGCGAGCCTCTTCTCGCGAACACGACACGATGTGGCTGAGGCCAGTGTCCAGCACCGCTGTGACCGAGGTGCCGTTGACGTCGACGTCCACAAAAAGCCGTTTGGCTTCGTCAAAGGTCTTGGGTTCTCGGTGAAGCACCAACTACGGGTTCACAGAATCCAGATCCAGGACGCTGCAGGTGCTCGTGAGGAAGTCCATCCCGAGCAGATTGTCGTCGCAATTCTGCCAGACCCAGAACTGGATCTCGTCCGCCAGCAGGTCGCCGAGGTCAGAGAACAGTTTGAGCTTGATGGTCCCCCTGAAGCCCTCGTCGGCACACGGCTGGACGTAGGCGTCGAGTCCTGCCTCCACAAGGTCCAGGTAACTCAACGACGACCTGTACGACCCCGACCGTGTCGACCGTGAAGTCGGTCAGGATCAAATCCTGGTCGAGACTGACCTGATAGAACAGGTTCACCTTCGGAACGCCGGCCTCCTCGAGCCGCAGGCTGAGGGGATATCCTTCAGGATCCATCATGACCGTTGTGGCCAACAAGTCCTACAGCCTCCTTGCTGTCGCTCGAGTCGTTAAGGCAATGGCGGGCGTGAGGGCGGCTGCCTTCGCGTCGGTAAAAGGGACGCGGGGCTTTTGTTTTGGTGAGCGCACGCGCGGCGGCGCGTGGGTGTGTGGTGGTGTGGTTGTGTGCCTGTGTGCCCTGTACATCGTAATTGTGTGTGTGTGTGTGTGCATGTACATCCGTAATTTGTGTGTTGTATTGTATGTGGTGTGTTGGGTGTGTGTGTGTGTGTGTGTGCGTGTGTGTGTCTGTACATCCGTAATTGTGTGTGTGTGTGTGGTGTCTGTACATCCGTAACTGTGTGTGTGTGCATTAGTATGTGTGTGTGTCTGTACATCGTAATTGTGTGTGTGTCTGTACATCCGTAATGTGTGTGTGTGTAATTGTGTGTGTGTCTGTACACCGTAATTGTGTGTGTCCATTAGTGTGTGTGTGTGCATTAGTATGTGTGTGTGTCTGTACATATTGTGTGTGTGTGTCTGCATCCGTAATTGTGTCCTGTTGTGTGTGTAGTATGTGGTGTGTGTGTTGTACATCCGTGTGTGTGTGTGTACATCCGTG